AAAATCAGAAGACTTTTAAAAGTGCTCTGAGTAATCAGAGTATAAAGAATAATGAAGAGGAGGGAGTTTAAGGCAAGCTCGTACAGCTGAAGCTGAACTTCAGAGACAGATCGCCTACTTAAGATTACAGCACACAGCATGTTCTAGTGACATTCTGACATTTCATCTATCTTACTGTATGAACTGCTTCCAGCAACAGATCTATCCTTCTAAAACTCCCACTTCTGTCTCTACTTGTCTTTCACTTCCCTCCCAACTTGATGCATTCAAAACTCTCAAGAGTATTTCAGGAGACAAAAGCCACCCGAGCAACTGACTGACATATTGGTTATCTGGATTTTAATATCAAAATGCAGTATTACTATGCATTAGTACATATCTGATCAGATTTTTTGATCTTAGATCCATTTGTATATGGCAAGCTTTCCTGGTAGAGTAGCCTGAAAAATAGATTTTTATATTGTTGAAGCAGTGAAATGCATTATTATTGACAAGTAAACTGCTTTTAAGAACAGTTGTAGCCTGAAAAATAGATTTTTATTTTGTTGAAGCAGTGAAATGCATTATTACTGACAAGTAAACTGCTTTTAAGAACAGTGCAACTATATTAAAAAATACAAATAGAATGATAGATATAAGGAGGATTTCCTTACACACCTTAAATATGGTGTGATATTTATCTATCAATACTTTTTTACCTTATACTATAGGAAAAGAAAAAAAAAGATAATTATGGCTGCCTATCAAAAGATATATACCTTGCTGATATATAGATTTGGTTGTTGAGAGGAAGTAAAAGAGCATCTTTTCAACACTTGCAACCCCTTCATCTTCATCCTGGACTCTAGAAACATTCACTAGACTTTGCTGCTTGGTCTTTGACGGCTGAAATCAACACAGTTGATCATTACGGATCGATCTGCTCCCTCCTGTATCTCCCTTCATGGTAGACTACTATTTTTTCATGATAAGTATGATACAAGTCCTATACAAAATCTTGTTTACTTGTAGGTGTTGACACCAACAGTGAGTAAGTTTCATGATGGAAGATTTCCAGTGTCCTAGTTCATAGGAAATATATTAAACTATTTCAGTTTTCAGAGTGCATTAATTATGGTTCTGTAGATTTCATCATAGCCTCTGCCTCTCAGTAGGTTTCAGTATATAACATTGTTTCTGACTTCAAAGGCTATGTTTAGGTATAAAGGGCTATTTCCCCAAGGACTAACAGTTAAAAAGACATACTTAGGACCTAAGTTTTTTCATTGCACTGATTTCTACGGGAACTCCAGATACGTTCCTCTGCTATAATCTGCATCCATAGAGGATGAAACAGTCCACTGTAAATGTAGGTTTAAATGAAAATCAGACAACACAAGAAATTCAGAGTCTCCTCTGGCTTCTGCTAGAATAGAGGAGACTTGATGACTACATTTCCACTAAACTCTCAGCTTCTTCACTCAGATTTTCCTTGGCAGATAGCAGGCATGAGCTAAGTGCAGCAGTTTTTATCGTAAAAAGATACCTGTAAAGCGATTATCTGTATAATGCTGCTGTTCAAATACAGCCAGTCTTATAACAAAATGCAATATATTTCTACAACTTTCTGCATACAAAGTGTCATTAGGGTAAAGTGCAGAAATTTTTTTTGTATTTTCTAACTAGCACACAATTTGTGCTATGCCAAAATTCAGTTCTGAAACTGCCATTCTCTTCGATTTTCAAAACTGCAGCATTTTTAAACTGTTAAAATATTTTATTTCTGTTATGAATTTTTATACATGCCTAGGCAATGGGTTAAGAAGTAGAGGGGAAGATTTCTGAACATCAGACATATGATTAATTGAACAAATGGTACCAATTATGTTATGTCTGTCTCTAATCTAACCTAACACACATGAGCCTTGTATACAGCAAAATTCCAAATACCTGCATCAGCCAAGAGAATCTGGATATATCTGAAGAATGAGGTTTTCCTTTCTGTAGACAAAATGAATATGCTTGTTTAGGCTACAAAGGTGAGAAAGAATGGAAAGCTGAAAGAGGGTATACATTCCCAGTGCCTGAGAAAAGAAAGCTTGGCATATCACTGTGCTGTATAACCTGGCAAAGAGAGTTTGACTTGATAAAAATAGGAATGTATTTGATGTGTTAGAGGAATCCACGAGTTTGTTCAATTCATGGGTCTTTAAATATTTTCCAATATTAGTCTATATTGAAATAGCTTCAGCATAAAATAAAAACAAGATATTACAAAATTCAAACATTCTTAAGAGATGATCATTATAAGAGTTCAACCTCAGTGTGCTATGTACAACTATATCATCAGGATAGTAAGAATTCTGGATAAGATGCTGCCAAAATAACAGAAAAGAATGAGGAAACTGAGATTGAGGCCAGATTAATTCTATAAAATAGTGTGAAGAACTAAAATGTGTCAACAGTCCCAGAGAAAATACAGCAAAACCAAGCCTGAACAAGATATTTTTGCATAGTTCCAAATCATAGTGCCTCAGTCATATCATTTTTTTTTCAAACCATCCAGAGAAACCAGACAATTTAGGAAATGCCCCAAGCTGAGATCAGTTAGACACAAAGATAGTGCACAGGGGAAACACCACATATGCTTGCCTCACTCTTAGTTCTTCCTGGTGCAGAGGGAAAAACAGTCTAGACCAACATAATTCTGAAGTTCATAAGAAAAAAATACCCCACACAGGTTACAGGCATTTAAAGTGTTCTATTGGTTTCCCTGCAGCCAGGGTAAGCCATGTAGGTTGACTGTTAAAGACATCCTCAGTGCTTTTCCAGAAAACAAAATGTTGACCCTGCAAGCTGTTGAACTTGCAAATGGGAATGCTTGTGTGCTCCTCACTGCTCTTTATATGTGAAAGACATTAGTAAAGCTCACTGTGTAAGCAAAGCAATAAATATCCTTTCAAATTTACAGCATGGGGAAAAAGATGCTACTCCTGAAATGAAAGTGATGACATAAATACTCTCATCTGCCTCAGAGCTAAGTGCTTATGAAATGCCTGGTAAAAGTGTACTTAAAACAGACCCATCACAATGCTGACTCTAACTGCAAATAGTCATGAGTGCAGCAAGGGTAATGAACAAGGGCTGCCCACCCCACATGCCTCACCAAAAGGGTTTAATCCTGCCCAAGTGCCCAGTTCACATTGTCTTGCCTGCTGCCAGCAACACCACAGCTCTCTGGTCAGAAGGCAGCAGGGAGCCCCAGGGTCTGTAATGAGTGAAGGTATCTAGATGGTAAACTACCCTTCACAACAAGGTCTTTGGAGCTCAGAGATTGTCAGGAATACATCTAGGCATTGATGCTGTGCCCTACAGCTAGGAAAACAATTTCAAACAATACAAGTAGTTTAAAACAATATAAGTAGTAGGCCAGTGCACAGTAATCACCATATTCGTTCCATCAAAAACAAATTAGAGTTTTTATATTTGAGTAACATAAATGCACTGATGCGTGCAAAGGAACTCAAGTTAAATTAGAGGGAAATAATACACTGCTTCAAACAAAATTAATTTCTCAAACTTCTATTAAAACCTGGACCGTGCAAGCTACAATCAAAGGAAATTTTATTTACCCTCGAACATTTTCAAAACCAGGACGTTTTATTAAATGACAAAATTAAAGCTAAAATATTATAGCATTATTGGAATAATAAATCCACAGTTACAAATAAAAATATATTTGAATTGAAAGCAAAATATCTGACCACAAATAATTAGGCATGCTGCTGGAGGTATGGTAAAATACACCCAGGCATATTTAAATAAATCATTCAAATACCTTGCATGAAATGAAACATTTATTTTCTTACTGCTGTAAAATGATGAAAGGTATCTCAACTATAACTATTTAGCAACTTAGTACTTCTCTTTACATAGCTGCATCCCATATGGAAACAAAGCAGAATGATTTTTTGCCTCAAAAATTAAGACCTACTTTCCACTGCCTAGAACAAGAGTTTTAGAGGGCTTTTTTTTCCCCATAAGTCAGGTGCAACTGTGCATATACACTTAATTTAATAGTACATTGAATCTAATTTTATATGCAGTCATGTGAAAATAAATTACTGCGTGTTTGAATAGATGGCTACAAAGTTTGCTGCAGCTTGCATATATGAAGAGCTTTTACCTATGCCCTAAGAGCAAAAGCAGCTATAAGCTCACCTGACCTGTAATCAAAGGTTTTAAAAAGGAGTATTTCTTCCCCTTTTCAAAATGTTCTTACCTCTTCCTTTGTCTTTTTTGATATGACTCTTAGCCAGTCTCCAATCATGCTGAGGACGGCTGCAAAGTAAGCAAGCCCAACAAGGATCCAGAACCACACCACTGGCTTATAAAAATCTAGGTATTCAATATCTGAACCCCCTGAAAAAAAGATAAAGGTAAAATTAAATCAGACTTAATTACTTAGAGGTGCAAAGCTGGTTTTAAATTATTTTTCCTTAAAAAAAGTTACATTTCTTACAACTTCTGTTTTCTTATCCGTGCAAAAAATCCTAGCAAAACGTTTTGTTGAATTTGAATAAATTATATAAATTCATCCACTCTTGAAAGTAAACTTTGGAGTACACAAATTTTAGACAATGAGTACCAGTCATTCATAATAATCATTGAATGGGCACGAACTGATTCAAATTCTGACCCAGCATCATTTAAGACAGAGGTCATTAAGGACAGCTTGAATGAAAGGACATCCCATCTGCTCCAAATAACGATGCTGTATCAGATTTTAAGTATTGTTCTGGAATATGCAATGTGTTCATACCCTGAGAAATCTGTTTTTGCAAGGACATTAAAACATCTCAATACTTAAGATGAACCCTTTAGCCTTAGTAAAGAAAAACTAGCACCTGCATTAACAAGAGTCCCTGTTGGGTAGGCAAACATTATCATCTCCATTTTGCAGAGGGAAATGAAGGTGCAGGGATGTGAGTTGAACTGATCATACTAAAACCAGGTGGATAAAATAGATGTCAGCTGAAGGCAGCTTTTTGAATCCCACTGCCATAAGCACCAGTCACTTCCCTCCAGTGTTGAAGTTAAAAAAAAGGATAAATTTCAGAGATGTCTGTAATGGAACTTTCAGGTATAATACAGTTATAGAGAACAGATGTCATATTTCCCCACAGAAAAAAAGTTACATTCATCCAGAGCTCCTGACAACAGAAAATAACTCACATTTCACATCTTGCAGTATAATCAAATAGAAGCCTTAAACTTGTTCTTCAGCTGTGTTATGGCAAATAGAACCAGACTTCTAGCTTAGGTTGCTGCAACTAGAGGTTTGATGTGCATTATCTGCCCACGGTTGAGGAGAGTCCACAGTAAAAACTTTCCAGACACATTATTGTGCCTATATGGGTACATAATGTGCCTGTATACATAATGTAATTGTATCCTATACTGAAACAGTCATAGGAAAATCAGCCTAAAATATCAAGCACCTTGTTCCAGCAACAAGATTAACTCCTGTGGAGAGTAATATTTTTGCCTAACTGGCCTGTCACAGAGATGACATGCAAATAATAGAGAAGTCTACTGATGGTTATAGTTGTACAGAAGCCCTCACAGACAGATATTTTGTTGTTTTCATGTCAATTAAGCCGTTTCATCAATAAAATACATTGAGCTGCAATGGTTTACTCAACTATCCAAGACATGAATCCACATTGTGACAATGGATATACTTTGACACCTTTGTCTGCCCAAGCAAGCTAGATGACAATGCTCTATTTGGAATAGAAGAGAGCCAACCACCAAAGGGCTGAGTTTGTCACAGCCCAAGATAATAAAAATATCAGAATTGAAGTGATTTGTTAACAATATCCATCTCGTGTCAATCTAGTAAAACAGGATTTTAGGGATGATTTGCCCAAAATCTGCTGTAGTTCAAAAAAACGTTTGATTACCACCTCTATCAGGGGCTACTAATATGCCACACTTGGTGGTTCATCTTCAGCTGTTCCTACAATGCACAAGAAAGTATCAAAAAAACATCCACTCAGCTGGATTTTAATTTTTGGTGTGTTATGCTTATAAACAGAAACTGGAACCTAACTCTGCCAGTCTATAGGAAGAATTTCCTTCATGGTTTATACCTAATTTATTTACACCAAAGTTAATTACCAGGGCAGGAGTTAGGGCATATTCACATTCAAGCTCCCCATACTGAATGGCCAGGAGATGGCTCCATCTAGCCATGCCCAAAGGAGTTCAGCTTTCCTAAGGTTAGGGGGACAAAAAGTATCCAAAGAAACCCTCTAGGATAAGGCTCAGCAGCTAAAACCTTTATTAGTTGTTGAGCTTCCGTATTTCAAGGACTCCTTGGGTGAATTCACAATTTAATCAAATCTCAGGGAGAGAGAGACATACCTAAGGATGCTTGTCCTAAGATAAGTACTGTCTCCTGGGATGCTCAAACTGCTATAATACCTGGGAATGTCATTAGGATTTCACTGGTAGGAAAACATGATCAAAGATCAACTGTGCTGAATTTAGAGTAAATTAATTAATTAACTACTGAATTACAATTCACTTAAATAGGCATGAGTATGCATAGGTAAATGTACTTGTACTGAAGTACATGAGGTAATCTATTGATTTTACTGGTAACATTACAAAAAGCATGTCAGTATGATATGCTATCATCTTTCTTTTGCAAAGCAAATTGTCTTATATAGAGCTTTAGGAAGCAAAATGCTGAGAAGGCAGAAGCTGAATTTTGTTGTTTGTTTGTCAAACCCAATTCCGTAGACTTAGGGACAAAACTTTTTGCCAACTTTGTTTAACCTCTACCCAAAATAGATTACAACCACAATAAAGAAGAAATCTCCCAGCAAGAGTGCACTTACTCTTTGGCAGTCTCACTGCCATAATCTTTTAGCAAGAAGAGCCACAGTTTATTGCCATGTTTAGTGGTAAAGATTTGACCCAAAGTCACTTGAAATCTATGAGAAATCCCAGAGTTTTCCCATCCATCCTCTTCACAGTCTATTGTATTGCTGCTGCCACTACTCTTAATCTGCCAAATAACTTCTAAATTATTTGGTACTTTCAACACTTTGGAAAGCATAGGTAGTTCTCTGGCCCATACACATTCCTTATTGCGGTGAAGAAATCTGTTTTAGAGGAGGATGGCATTAGAGAAGATTTAAGAGGTGCATTAGGAGAGATTCTAGTTCTCAGGTAAGAGATCAGGATTACAAATACATGTATTTGAAGTTGTGTCAGTATAGGCTTAGGTTAGATATTACAAAAAAAGTCTTCACTCAGAGTGGTTGAGTACTGGAGCAGCTCCCCAGGGAAGTGATCACAGCACCAGGTCTGACAGAGTTCAAGTGTTTGAATAATGCTCTTAGGCACAGGGCTGTCCTGTGCAGGGCCAGGAGTTGGACTCAATGATCTTCATGACTCCCTTCCAACTATTCTGTGATTATGTATTTTTTCATTTATTTACAGAAAACAAAGAATTTTCTTTACTGTTGCCACTCTTCTTCCCATTCTTTCTGCAGCTGACTCAAACTACAAACACGTAATTGTAAAGCTGTCTGGTTTTGTTTGCCTATTTGCTGCAAAAGTAGAAAGAGAATAGAAAGTGCTATTGACAGTATCTTAATTTCATACCAGCACAAATTTATGGATTATTCAAGAGTTGGCCCTTCAAACCAGGAAATATCTATGTTTTTTGATCATCAGTAAAAATTATTCTGGGTATTGGAATATGATTAAATCTGGTTTTAATTGTAGAATAATGAACAGTAGTCCATCATCCCTGTTGTGACAAACCTGACCAAAATGCTTCATCCAGAAACATCATTTGTCCCACTCCAAAGAAATATGGAGGTTCAGACCTGCAGCTTGAAAGAAATTACCTCTAAGCACTGCAAAAAAAAAAGGGACAGAGAAAGTCTAACTTCTGCAGAGATGTGGAAATTCAGAAGGCTTGGGACAAGATAATACTGCACTGTCTGTGAAATAGGACGTAAGTAGGCCACACGAGTCACTTGATGCCACTCAGTAGAAAATGGAGAGCTACTTCAGAATACAAAGCACAGCTATAAAACACTCCTTACACACTGTCCTACACACACATCAAGCAAGACAGAACTCTGACTTCAGCTTAAAGCAGGCTGTGTGGTTCACACCAGACAGTCCCTATTATGGACATGAAGTCTTGAGGGGACAAAGAGCACTTCCAAATGCCAAAAAAAGACACAACGCCTGTGGGAGAACACACAGCCCTTTTACAGGATGCTCAAAACACCTCTTGCTCAGCATGACAGTGATCTCTTTCTGTAGAGGTCTTTCTGCTGATTTGTAATATCACATAGTGAGACCAAACCGGGCTGCTATGACCACCAGGTGAAGTGTTCCAGTTTGGTGACATTAAATGAGACTAAAATATCTCAATATTCTACAAACTGGGTCTCAGGCCAAGCAATACAGTGTGGACACAGGTATCTGCGTTACAATGTGTCAGATTCAATTACAGACTGAAACAGTAAAAAAAGCAATGTTAAAAATCAGAGCTCAAACAAGGAAAACCAAACAAACCAAAAAACGCCACAAAAAATAACCAAATAGTTTGAATATATTTATAAAGGAAGACTTGAAAATTCTGTGATCTGGTTAATTGGATCAATTGAGGCATAACCATAGATCATCATTATGCCCCACTGTGAAACAGACTACTGATCTTCTGTTTATATTTCTGCTGTCTACTTAATTCAGTCGAGTTTTAGACGTGCCACCTAATTTAGATTTGAAACCTGTTAGATTAACTCCCCTAGAAATCTGACTATACCTTCCAGCCAGCACTGCAAGTTAAAGGATTTATCTGTACAAACGAACAACATATTGCATTTTATACATATATATTCACTTGCCTTAGTGCTAATTTTAGTGTCCAGTAATATCTCTCATTATACTAAAAAGGATACATTTTACATTAAAAGATTCCTGGGTTTTTTTTGTAGGGTATTCGTAGTTTTGGCTGGATTTTCTTCTGTCATGTTAAAGTCAATGGTTTCTCTTGCAAACAAGAAAAGGGATGTTCGACTATGTCCTGATTTTCATGAGGCCATGCATAGTGTTGTACAGTTTCTTATTTCTTTTACATGAAAATATACAATAAACTTTCTTCAATTTCAAAAAATATTATTTCTCTCCCCCCCCAAAAAAAAAATTCAACCGCTCCAAAAATTAGAAAAATCTAATCATTTCACAAGATAGAGAAACATTAAGTTTACTTTTTTGGAATACTGTTCATATATTTATTGAACACACTACAAAGGCTCTTCAGCTTTTTCCTCCTTCCATGCACCATGAATGATCAGCCTTTTATGTTTGCCTTAAGGCTTCTCTTGTTGATGGAAACCACAGTTGAAATTTCCACAGACTCCAAATAACAACTAAGACTCTGAGTACCAAATGGGATGTTTTGGCATTCTAGTTTCTGGGAATGGAGTACATGACCTCTAGTACAAATGAGAAGAAACCTGTAGGAAAATTCTGGAAAATTCTACAAGAATTTCTAATATGACAAGTTACAAATTGGAGTATTACTACCCACCATTATGCTCTAGAGTTTACTATAATTCTCAGTGGAAGAAGGTAATTTTCACTCTTAGTATGATGTAAGAAAAATGCCACTCTGGACAGAAAAAAGAAATCAGAAATATTAACAAATTAATGCCAGTGTGAGGATTTTTCCAAATGCATTGCATCTTGGCGCTAAGTGAACTGAAGCATCATTCTGTCTGCTGCATGCTTCCCACCATGAAAACAAGAACCAAGAACCTCCACGCTCTAAAGCCACAGTTTCAGATGCAATAGCCATATTCTATCATGAAAACCTCTCCTACAGCCTTATATGGCATTACATGCCTTAACTCTATAATTTCTCCCCTGTTTATGACACTCAGCTTTCTTAAACTTCAAGGAGAGTGTTCTATACAAAACCTACCACAAAAATATCAGTGGCCCTTAGTGTCCACACCGAAGTTATGACTTAGAAGCAAAACAAAAAAAATATAAAGAAAACTTACTAATTTGTTCAAGTACAAAAGATTCTGCATATTTCCACAAAATTAATACGGAAGCCTAGCCTCAGGGCAAACCCTATCAGTTGTGTTTCAGGGGTGGCTTCTGTGAGAAACTGCTAGAAGTTTCCCCATGTCCAGCAGAGCCAATGCCAGTGGCTCCAGGACAGACCCACTACTGCAGCAAGGCTGAATCAATCAGTGGTGGTAGTAACACTTCTGTGATAACATATTTAAGAAGGAAACAAAACTTATTGCAGAGTAGTAATTGCAGCCAGAGAAGAGAGTTGACCCAAACTCAACTATTGAACCAAACTCAACTATTGAACCAAACTCAATCACTGACC